TATATATATATATATATATTAGTGCTGTCAAACGATTAATCGCGCTTAATCGCATACAAAATAAAAGTTCTTGTTTACATAATATATGTGTATACTGTATACATATATTATGTAAACAAAAACTTTTATTTTGGATGCGATTAATCGTGATTAATCGTTTGACAGCACTAATCCTGTAGTTAGATGGGATGCACAGCCTCTGACATTCACAGAAAATTTTTTTGTTGTGTTTTCACCTTCCTTTTAAAAGTTGAATTGACATTAGAATGTTCCAAAGTACTTATGCAGTGGTCATTGTAGAACAACTGTTGATCAGCATAGAGCTGTAGCTACTATTCTGAGTGAACCTATAGATCTGCATTGCACAGTTGTGTCGGTTGAGCTAATATTAATTTATTTTGTCTCGTTTGTTTGACAGAGTAAAGTCTCATTTACAAAGGTGAGGTTTTGGTGGGTAATATACTTCTCGATTACTCATTCATGTCAGCATGAAATTCAAATATTGGCCTTGTTCCACTCCGAGGCTAATTTGATCTTCCTCTCATTACATTTTTTGCCACATTCAGTATTAGTGGCAGTGGAAAGTCTATTGCTATGGTAACAAGAAACATTTCTCTCTTCATTATCTGTGTGAATATTTTTGCAACAGAATAGGATATATTTCCAATCCAGTACGTTTGAATGACACGAGGTGTCCTCTTTCGGTTTGTTTTTTGTGCCTGATACAGGTGCAGAGTGTGTTTATTGCATTCTATGCGTGGGGTGTATGTTTGCATGTGTGCATGCATAATAGCACAGAGCCATAGTTAAGGCATTGAGTATCCATACACACATGGAGAACAAAAAAGAGGCATAAAATTGGGGTCCACTAGTGTGTACTAGAGGTACTTTAGGTAATTTCATAATAAATACAGTTATGTCTATAAATATGATTTAAAGAGAATGTTACAGCTTGAAATTCAATCCTTTCATCTACCCTGATGCTGGTGAGACAATGTTTAAAGTGCCCCTATTATGGGTAATGAACGGTTCATATTTTGGTTTTGGGAGTCCCCAACAACAGGTTGACATGCATGCAAGGTCAAAAACACTTTCATTGTCTTATAATATGCATTTATTTTTACCTTACTTGCTCAAGGACTCCCAAACGATTCACTCAACGATTCATTTTTCCAAACTCCTCCTTTGCGTGACGCTAATCTGCGGTGATTGGTCCGATTGGTCTTATTTTCATTTCATCATGCCTGTAATGCCTGATAAGCGCAGTGCTGCTTTGTGTACAGCATTACCGGGGAAACCGCTATTTTTACCATAGACCAGGGGTGGCGAACGTCGGTCCTGGAGAGCCGCAGCCATGCAGAGTTTTGCTTCAACCCTAATCAAACACACCTGAACGAGCTAATCAAGGTCTGAACAGTTACTAGGAAGCTACAGGCAGGTGAGTTTTAATTAGGGTTGGAGCTGAACTCTGCAGGACTGTGGCTCTCCAGGACTGG